CGCCCCTTCCTCCCCTCCCCCCCACCCAACCAACAGGCCCTCCAGCGCCTTGTGCTGGAGGGCCGCCCAGCCTCGTTTCAAGGAATGTACAGTTTCATGGTGGCCCTGAGGCGGAGGGAGGGGGTGGACAAGAGAAGGAGGGGAAGGAACGAGGACCCTGAGGGAGGGCCGGCGAAATGCTCAAGAGGGAGGCGGGAGATGGGAAGTGTCGAGCTCCAGTATCGAGAGAATGATGTGTTTTACATATACGTCTGGCACGGGAGAAGCTCGGCAGCGGAAACGGGGAGAGGGAGGCAAGGAGGGAGGGAGGGAGGGAAGGAGAAGGGGAGGGGGGGGAGAGGATTTAGTCCATGCAGGCCTCCTCACCTCCGAGACTGCCTCCGGCAAAGTCCGTATGAGTTCCAGAATATTCTCTTCCCTGGGGTCAGCCTCCGTCAAAGCCTCAATCTCCTTGTGGAAAATGTGCGTGAACCGCCGCCACAATTGCCGGAGATGCCCGGCAAAGACCGAAGGGGGGGGGAAGAGGGGAGGAAGCAGGAATCGGGAATGCCGGACGCGGACCCGCTGCAGGGCTGATCGAGTCGGAGAGGGGCCTCCCTTGTCGTCGGGGGAAGGAGAGGGACGCGAAGAGAGGAGGGGGCGGCGATCGACTGTCTTGAGGATGCTTGCAGGACAACCCTGGCCCGTGGGTGGATGGATAATGAGCAGCAGCCATAGAGAGGGAAGCAGGAGGCAACACCCCTCCAACAGAGGTGAATGTCTCTGCCTCTTCATCCCAACGACGGTCGAGGCGTGCTGTCGCGGGGAAGAGGGAAATGCCCCTTGTGCCCGAGCCGGAGGAAGGAGCTGCCCGGGAAGGAGAGGAGAGGAGGCGGAGATGGTACGGATTCCGCTTCCACTGGATGGAGGACGTGAATAGAAAAGGGAACCGGGTGAGTAAAGCCTCTTATGTACGGCCCGTCCTCTGAAATTCAAACGCAGGCCATGGTGTTGCATGTTAGCGGGGACATGCCACCAGTGAGTAGACGTGATGCACCTCCTTGCGTGCCCCACAGGGTGATCAGAGCCGTGCTCAAAACCATACTAGAGGGAATACATCCCTGGCGACCACTACAAGCCATCGTGAAGAAGTGAGAAGACATAGGAATGCGCTGCGATGGGTTTGCGAGGGTCTCGAGCGTGCCATTGGCAGCCTCTTTGTCTTGCCCCAGGGTAAGGGGGCGTGCGCATTTTTCAACCTGCGGCTTTTTCCTATCCGAAGCACGCACTCGATCGCGACCGTCACGAAGAAATGAAACGTGCAGCACTCCCCACCCTCGACACAAACAGCAGGTGGCACACGGCTTGGCCGGGAATCAACAACCACAATGCATCTTCTGGCATCTTTGTGTACCTTCTCATTCGATGGGGAAGTGATTAGTCGCTGACGTCTCAGGTCGCCGTGGCTATATGGGCCTAACGGAGGGTGACACCCGTCCCCAAAAGCCAAAACATCCGCCCCGACAACCACCCGACGCGCACATCTCATACAGGAAAAGTTCTTTTGGAAAACAAGTAAGGATTGGGTATCAAAAACTGGTTTTTCAAAGAAGAATCTCAAATCCAAAAATGGAAAAGGGGAGTCTTTAGACTGACTTCCTGCCCGCCACGGGCAAACTACTTTTCGTTCTACCTCCCGTACTATCCCTCTTTTGATTCGATGTGTGCTTTCCAATAGACAGGTCGATAATATTTACACGACATCTCCTATATCCCAGCTCTCACCCTTCTACCGGCCGTTTCTTTTTATTGCTAGCAGATAGCAATGTATCCTGGCCTGCGCACAGATACGACCTTTTTGTGCTCATCAATCTCCTTGCACGGCCTTTGATTTTTGTTTCGATATTTCTTGCTGTTTTCTATGGAACCAGAACTCAATAGTTATTTTGTTAAAAAACTATTCAATTTCAGCAAATCCTGCTTAAGCTTGACTTCCCTGACAACAACATTGAACTCAAGTTTTTACATGCCGCCGAGAAAGTGGCTCTCGCGGCCCTTCGTCGTACTCACGCACGTACTTGTATACATCACATACACATTTACGCTGATCTGTCGCAACGCAGTGTGTCCGCTTCCCATCGCAGGGGTTAGCGCTTTCCCCACATACAAAACACGTGTAAAAAATAAATAAATCGGACAAGAAAAGATCAAAATAGAAGATATCTAACTTCCCTTATTGCATGTTCATATTATAATCTCAATGTTGCTTGCACGCTTGAGCTATACCCTCCCTTTCCTTTCCAGGCGTATTTACTATCCTTCCTCCTCCTCTCCTCCCTCCCTTCCTCCCCCGGTCCCTCCCCTCGACAAAAATTTACTGGCCCCTTCCTCTGGAGGCCCTCTGCCCCGCCTCAACCTCCGCTCCCTCTGTTCCACTCGCTTTTGCTCCGTGGCCAGGTAGGCGGAAGTCGGAGAGAGCTTCCCATCTTTGCCCTTCTCATAACGGAATTCTTTTGGGGGTGGGGGGGAGG